TTTATGCTAGGAAACTAATAAATATTATGCATGCTGGGCCTTAAGGTCAGTGTAGGCTGTGCTCAGTGCTTTCATGAATCACTGTCAGAGTAAAATATACTTATGATGATGATTACACACTAAGAGTTTATGGAAATTGTAAGTATTGATTTTTATACAGCAGTGGTACCATATTCCCTTTCCTTATTTGTGGATGCTCCTGTGTGCTTCCAGATTGGCCTCAGTGAGTCAGAAAGCAGCTATGCCAGCTTGACTGTTTGTGTTGTAGTTTGACCTTTAACAAATGCTAAGATTTGATCATTGTGTTATTCTTGGTTTCTTCTCTTAAAGAAGAAACAATAGTCTACAAAGATAAAAAAAAAAAAATGCTCAATGGCACTTCATGTCTTTTTTGTTTTTTCTTCCTTGGACTACTTCATCACAATGAACATCAATTTATTTTTTTTATATTTTACACATATTTTCTATATTCTATTTATCAGTTTGGGCACTTAATGGAAGTTAAGATTAGCTTAATTAGGTAAAATTACACATATTTATATATAAGAAATAAACTCAAGTTTTTGTTCATTAAGAATCAGCAGTGCTTCAAATGTTTATTTGGACAGGGAGAAAATATCAGACAGATGATTAAATATGACATTGAGTTTTCCAACTATACTGATTCAAAATGTCAGCTCCAAAATGTGGGTTTCCAAAACTTTCCATCGACTGTATTTTCTACGTACATCTGAGCACATCCTTAAGACTAGAGCCACAAGGTGGGATGAGCTGATCAGGATATCCTAGTTGAGGTTTATCAGGTATGTCTAATCAAGAGGAGAGCATCAGGCAGACCTAGGACATACTGGAGAGTTTATATATCTCCAGGACTAAGGACTAAGCAAAGGCTGTAGGAGGTGGCTGAGTGGAAGGATGTCTGAACATCTCTGCTTAGACCTGGCTATGCAGCAAAAATACAATGTAAAAACCCAACAACCTTGAATGCACCTCTGCTTTTTTCACTGGTTCTAGTTACATTTTGCTTTAATCAATCACTCTGCACATCCACCCTTCAATGCAAAACTTAGTTTTACATCCGGACCAGCACAACACATTTAACTTTCGGCAGCATTCATTTATTTGTTTCTTTTATTTACTTATTTATTTATTTAAAAAAGAAAGAAGAGGTCAGAGTGATGTGATTATTTAAAACGAAATACCAATACCCCCAAAGTTATTTCTACTTGATAACAAGCAGGAAACAATATGAGCCTCAGTACCAAGAAAAACCCAAATGTTAGACACTGGATAAGACAAATGATGTCAAACCTATGGCTAGAAAGACTAAATATACTGTAAATATTATGTTTGTTAGATTGAAGGTCAAACAAGGGTTTGTAGAAAAGGCTTGCAATTAATCTGATTGACTTATTGTCAATGGTTTTCTGTGTGCGGAAACAGAGAACAGGCTGTTTTCTTTTCATCTTTGTCGTTTCTTTGCGCCTGATTGTGCTCATGCATCTGCTGAAAGCTACAGACATTGTTGGAGAAAAGCATTTAGGTAAAAGAAGGTGGCACTCACTACAGAACGTGGCCTCTCGCTATAAGAACGCAGAGATACACTACAGTCTTGGTCGACTCCTCTTCGCCTCCGATCTGACTCGGTCAGGGGAAGGAGCATGTCCATGGAGCGACTGGTGTAGGGGTCCAGCTGACTCAGGGGAGATGTGGTCTGGGATAGGAGGTCATGGAACTGCCATACGCATCGACACACACACAC